ACCCATTGTAACCAGTGTTGCCGTTTTAGCCCTTTGGTGGCTAGATTTAGCTACCAGATACTTTTTTTGGCCACATATATTTAAAATTGCCCCNTCGACTAGTGTATTAAAACGGAAAGACTTGGCAGCATTGCATAGCTCTCAACGATTTTCGTCGTTTAGTTATTTCAGCACGACAGGAGCAGTGTTGCCGTTTTAGCCCTTTGGTGGCTAGATTTAGCTACCACATACTTTTTTTTTGGCCACATAAATTTAAAATTGCCCCTAGCCCTTTTTTTTAGCCCTTTGGAAAGTTTATTCATACTTGGCATGAAAAAGTTGTATATGCTTAATTTGATCTAATTTTTTTTTTATCTATGTAAGAGATGAATTTTTAAACTAAGAAAGACTGATATACATATATTTATACATATATGTATTGTATGTTCCTTACGTTTTTATACTACTATATTTTAAAATGAATAATATAAAAAAAAACTTTTTAATATACAACGCTTTTATAAATGGACTAAAAAGTNTTTACGGCCCTTAATATGCTTTATTTGTTAAATGGCCCATCAAGTCGATTGACCGTGTATGTTCTTGTGGTGTGATTGTACCAGGTGCTGGCGTGACTTCAAAAACTATTTGAAAATTTTATGATTGTAACAGCATGCTGGTGTCATCACTGGTGAAATAAGCTAAATTTTCTAAGTAAAAAGTATTTTGGCGGAAATTTCTTGCCCTATATGGGTCAAAGCCGTGTTTGTGGAAGATTAAGTTCACGACATTGCAGTCGTGAATTTCAAAAAAAAAACAATGTTTAAAAAAATGGTAGAATAATTATAAAAATTTCGGCTCTAATCATTTCGATCTTTCCTCGACGTCATTTGAGTAGTCCACTTGCAAAGGGCGCTATGTAAAATTTTTTCGATTTTTAGTTTTTGGTGGATTACGTACCAGTATTTAAAGTAGTTTCATGTCCACTAACAACACAGTGCAAAATATTTTTATATTCTGAAAAAATAGCATAAAATGTTAACTCTTCTTCCAAAAGTCGCTATCATACTTATTTATAAACTTTCAAAAGTATCCATCTTCTGATGAACCTAGAAAACTGCTTTAGGTCGTATAGACTTTTAATGTTATCTTATGTCATGGTATGTTATGTTGTAATTTTATAAGGCTCTTATTTATCCAAATTTTCAGGTAATAATAAAAAAGATTCAATTTAAATGTTACTTGTTGTCGTAATCGTTTTTTCAAATTTATGGCTTTCTATTATAAAATCACCTAACGCTGTTTGCAAGTGGACTACTAATTTGTAAAGAAATAAATATTTTACCAGCATGCTGGTAAGTTATATGCTTCGAGTCTGATGGTACAATTACTTGATGGAGCCAGCAAGCTCGTATCGTATATTTCCTCTTTTATACAAAAAGGTTTTTGGTTGGATAAAATATTACCTTTTTTTCCAGACTTCATTGTTTTTCTATACCATTACTTATTGAAAATGTTTGCGTGTATACTTATATATGTATATGTAAGTAAAAAATGTAGCTATCATTTTTAGCCACAACGACTTTTTTTAGCCCTTTTTTAACGGAATTTGGCTACCGCTAAAAATGATTCGCGGCAACACTGATTGTAATTGCTCATTATCAGCAAAAAAAAATATTTTGTGTGAAACAACACTTTAATAAAATGTTGCAATATTTTCACCTGGATAATAGAGCGTTCATTTTCAAAACATATACCTATGTATGCAAGGTGTATAAAACTAGGTGTCGATGATGGCAACCCTACAAATGTTGCAGAGCATGAATAGCGGTGTATTGTATCTGTATTTGAATGTCATTTATGTATTAATTTTATGTAATAAGTCAAGCCTTAAGTAGTCGTGCTTCTAGCAAATTCCGTTCTTTTTTACTTGTATACGGAGCGAAACCAATGTGAGTAACATCAACTTATATAGCTTGTACTATTTGTAAATTGCATTTTTGTATTTATTGTCTTAGAGAATAAACCAAGTTGAGAATCCAAGTGGAAATCAAACCATACTATAACTCGAGATTGCCCTTTATTTGTAGCAGCTGGGATTCTCCCAAGTTCATTTCGAAGCCCGTAAAAAAGCACAACTTTATTTTATTCAAGCCACTGTTCCCGTCCATTGTCTTAATTGTCGCTCATCAAGTCTATGCCAATAAGTCCAAATACACCGAGAAGGAGTCAAAGGAAAAACAAGGGACTGTTGCCCGTTCGTCTTGGAGAATTTGTTGTAGAGATGTCACCTCCAAACCCGGCGAGTGATAAAACGTCGAACGAACAGTCGAGTACGTCTTCCCAGTCGCAGCAACAGCAGAGTTTGTCTGCCCAGCAACAGCGCAGTTCGGGCGCCGGAACGCAGGAGGATTCGTCCGGTAAACAGCAAAAAACTACACCCGCCACGATATCAACCTCGAACGCATCATCAGTACAACCACAGCCGGTAAGTGTTAACCTCGAGGGGTTTAGACGCCAGTTGGATGAAATGCAAAACGAGTTCAAGCGCCAAATGCATGCCATGCAAAAGCTACTCGTTTCCAACACACAGCAACTACGTTCTGAATTTTTGCAAGCTAGATCCAAATCGCCGCCAAGAACTTCCGCATCTTCGCTATTAATGCCAGAAGAGCCGCAGCCAGTACAGCAATCGACGAACTCGACCATGCAGCCAGCATGTACTTTCCCCATACCGCCATCGTCGCAGACGTCATTGACACCCGCACCGCCACCACTCACGGTGCCTCAGCCATCACCCGCACTTTCGCAAACGGCCGCGCAGCCCGCGTACGTTTGGTCGCAGTCAGCGCCGCCATTTGCCCAAGCTGCCGCGCAGCCAGCGCATGCTTGGTTGCAGTCAACGCAACAGCCATATGCACAGGCACCGCGTGTCACATCATACCTTCGCGAAGAGAGCCAGCACTCTACGAGCAGCGCTGCTAAGAAAATATACCCCTTCCTATATTTAAAGGTACTCCTGAAGATTGGCAGACGTTCATCGAAAATTTCGAGGGTACGACGCTTGAATTTGAATACTCTAATTTGCACAATATAATGCGCCTACGTGATGCTCTGAAAGGCCGAGCACAAGAAGCCGTGGAGTCGTTGCTGGTCAATTCTGCCAACGTAACCGCAATCCTCGAGATACTGCGCGAAACCTTCGGAAGGCCAGAACAGTTGATCAAGAGCCAAATTGAAAAGGTCAGGTCAATACCGCCTTTAGTCGATGGTCACATCGAATCTCTGGTAAATTTTGCCAACAAAATAGCAAACATGGCGACATTCCTTCAAAACGGGGACGGATTCCACCACCTTTTTAATCCAACGCTGATCAGTGAACTTGTTGCTAAATTGCCGACGCCACGCCAAATGCTGTGGGCGGAAAAATGTCTTCAATTGGAGCGTCCCCCATCGATTGTGGATTTCAGCAATTGGTTGTGCACGTTACGCCGCCTGGCAAACATCGTAGCCGACACGCTACCTTATGATGGAAGTTCGCGATATCAACTGCAATTGAGAACCAAAACAGCTCCAGGTCGCAGAACTGCATCCTACAATCGTCACTACGCCTGCGTGAGCGTTTTTAATAAAATATATCTGAACTGTGAGGGCGAGTGCAACACTTTAAATGATTGTCAATCTTTCTTACAGATGACAAGTGACGATCGTTGGAAGCAAGTGAAAGCATTAAAGCTTTGTTTCTCATGCTTAAGAAAAGGTCACCGTACGCAGCAATGCCTTTCACGCAAAAGTTGTGAAACAAACGGTTGCCGACAAGTTCACCACCATTTGCTCCACACTGATTCTGCTGGTGTACCGCCAAGACGCCGCGGAGCAGCCAATGCATCAAGTGAACTAGGCGCTGCAAGACCGCAGGCCGACGCCCAACAACATATTGAACGCCGAAATTGTCATGCCGATTGCTACTCGCACAACGTCCTCTTCCAAATTTTGCCCATAAAATTGTATGGCCGAGAAAAGGTTATAACTACCTATGCTTTCGTCGATGATGGGGCGAACGTGCCCATGATCAACCAAGACCTTGCCTTGGCACTTGGAATCCGCGGCAAGGCTGAAATTTTGGAGTTGCAATGGTTAAATGAGCAAACAAATACACAAAAAGCTGAACGTGTGACCATAACAATCAGCGGTGTGGAAAACGATTCCGAGAAGTATGAGGTGCATAATGTTTTCAGTTCTACAAATTTGTCGTTGCCAATACAGAGCTGTCATATTAGCGAGTTAACAAAATCGGGTACAAACTCTCATCTTTTGGGATTAAAGCCTCAACCATGCCTTTTTGACAGTCCCAATAGAAGCTCCACGCCAAACTATGGGCGCAGGGTCCATCGCAGCCAAAGCAAGGTTAGACTGGGTGATTTATGGGTCAATTAACGCGACGCCTTCGTTGCAACCACTTCGTGCATTACATTGTAGAAAGCTACAAAAATCAGAAGACGTTGCGTACAAAATGCATGAAATGATGAAAAGGTATTTCGATATCGAGTCGTTTGGTATTAAAGCTGATTCAAAAAAAAGAATGCCTAAATCTGATCAGCGAGCGCTGGCGATTTTAAAAGCTTATGGAAGGAAAATGTGTCACCATTCCCAGAGAGTTACCAGATGGCCTTGAATCGGTTACAAAGTGTTTAGAAAAAGATGGCTAGAGACAAAGAGTATTCGGTAGACTATCGAGCCAAAATTAATGATTATTTGAAAAAGGGCTATGCAAAAAAATTAACATCCGCCGAAATCCAGCAAGTTACCGAAATAACATTTTATTTGCCGCATTTTGGTGTGAGAAACCTGAATTAGAAAGGAATACGAATAGTTTTTGATGCGGCCGCAGAAGTGCAAGGAATGTCACTTAACAAAGCCCTTCTGTCAGGACCCGACATTAACAAATCACCGATTTCGATACTCATTAAGTTCATGCAAGCTCCAATCGCAGTCTCTGGAGACATTAAAGAGATGTTTCATCAAATTGTAATAGCTGACGAAGATAAAGACAGCCAGCGGTTCCTCTGGAGAAATGGAGACCCATCTAAGCCGGTGGAAATCTTCAGGATGGAGCGAATGATTTTCGGAGCTACTTGTTCACCCACGATAGCGCAGTGCGTAAAAAACGTTAATGCCAAGGTGGTCATGATGAGGACTGTGGCAACCTCATTGACCTCTAAAATGCCTCAATTCTTTGCCACCGAAATTAAGAGCGAGGGAAAGCCGAATCGTTTTCATCATCATTTCGCGACCGCTGCCCGAGTAAAAACCTAAAACATAGCCATTTAGCTGATTTTTTCATTTAAAGGCCAAAAATGGTGATTTTTTGAAATGATTGTATGGGGAACGCCCCAGGGGAGTTCCAGGGGGTGTGCCACTGGCATGGGTGGATCGGCCGTCCAAAGTTAGTGGGGGTCGGTCATACATTTGGACTCGATTGGAGCACTCTAAATGGGTCAAAGTGGGATTTTTCAAAATTTGCCCCTACCCAAAAGTTCGACCCAAATTGGGGGACATCAGAATTCGTTTTAGAGGTATGGTTCCTTCGGCAAAGTTTCTTATTTTGATACCTAGAATACGATTTTCACAGAGCAATGAGCGATTTTTAAATCGACCCGCCCTAATGTATATGTACATTTATATGCAAAAGCAGCAAAAGTTCGCGCTAACTCAAATAGATTCCCACTCTCTTTTACTCACTATCACTAATAACCCGCTCAAAATTAATTTTCATACTCCCACATACACATACGAACGCTTAAACTTAAGCCACGTACATAGTGAGCTACACAACTTGCGTTAGTACCCTGTTCATATTTTAAATACATATTTATCTGTCGATTTTTAAATAAATCTATTCGTAAATAGTTACAAAAAGTTACACCGAGTTTATAGAGCGGTCACTGAAGTAAAGATAAAAGGTATAATTCAAAACTTACATAGTGTACACTCTGGACACACCGTTATTGTCTCTTATGCTATCATATATATAAACCGACTAAAAAATATTAAGGTGCTAACACACTGCGGCAAAAAAAAAAAATTGTTAACCCCCAAAAAAAAAAAAAAATTTGTCTTACACTTGCAATAATATATATATATAGATTGCATACGTTAATACATATTTTGGAACGTCTCTTTTACTTAGCTCATTACCCAATAACCCTAAAGCTTTGAAACTCAACCCTATAATTGGAATAATGGGGTCAGATCAAGAATTTCTCGAACCTGATCCGAAGTCTTCAAACACTAAGAAGCGTGATAGTTCCAAATCGAGGTCGGATAAAGAGTTGAAAAAATTTATATTTGAAACAAATAGATTGGAGATGTTTTGCTCCAAATGGTCACCCTCCCTTGTTTTAGACCAAACAGAAGCTCTTTTAAATGTAAAAATTGTGCAACTCGACCAAAACTGGCAAATGGTATTAGAAACATACCAGGCCATGTTTCTCTCAGACTCATACTCAAATGTTAGTGAATCAGTTGAGCAAAAATACTCAAAATGTAGTGATAGTTACCAAAACTATAAAGCTCAGATGACGGAAGCTCTGGAACTCTTTAAGCCCAAAGCCACAGTCTCTAGCACACTAAACCCGGCAACTGCAGAAACTCGGTATCTTCTGGAGTATTTTTACAAGTTCCACCATGCGATACTCAGGACTTTTATGGTGGATATGAAGAGTGGCCAGCCTTTAAAGATATGTTTACGGCGGTATACATAAGGCACCCGAAGTTAATTCCCAAAAGTTATATCACTTACGATATAAAACAAAGGGCCAAGCTGGTATCATTGTCAAACAGTACCCACTCAGCGATGAAAGCTTCGAACTCGCATGGGAAGCTCTAAGGTCACGATATGAAAATCGTCGAATACTTGTTGCTAACCAGCTTAAAACTCTTCTTAACTTGAACCCAGTTTATAGCGAAAATAGCCAATCTCTTCAGAAATTACAGACGAATATTAATAACTGTCTCTCAATATTAAAATCGGAAGGCGTGTCTGTAACCAACTGGGACCCAATACTAATACACATATGCACCTCGAAACTCCCCGAAGAGACATTAGCTCTTTGGGAACAGTCTCTTTCTTCAAGAAAAGACCTTCCACTCTGGTCCGAAATGGATGCATTTTTAACCACTCGCTACGAAGTAGTGGAAAGGTTAAATGCTCACCGACGCCAAAAACCCAAGCAAACTCAAAATACAAACTTAAAGCAAAGTTTTCAGAAATTTCAACCCTCATTTAACTCAACGAAAACTCAAAGTTTTAACTCAAACCCGAACCCAAACAAAACTCGTACATACCATAATGATCAGAAATATGTAAACTCCTGCAAATTATGTAGTGTCTCACCCGCACACCCACTTAAACCATGCCCAAAATTTAAAGCAATATCAGTCCAAGAAAGATTGAAATTTGGGAAAGAAAATGGATACTGTCAAAATTGCCTAGCATTTTCCCACATAGCTAGAGAATGTGGAAGTAGCTTTAGGCGTGTATACTGTCAAAAATCCCATCATTCGATGTTACATTTTAACCCTCAAAACTCAAACTCAAACTCAATACCCAAAAAATCTACAGTGCACACGACTACAGCTAGGCCCACAGAAGAAGCACCAGGAAGTACGGAACCCGATGAACTCCCAACCTCTTCAATCGGGGCTAGGCAGCAAGAGCAGGAATCCATTCAATCGCATCACACAAGTAGTAAAGGAAAAATACTACTCCCAACCGCTACAGTTCCAATTTTTCACTTAGGTGACATTTATAAGGTGAGGGCATTAATAGACCCAGGTTCAGAAAAAACGTTTATCTCCTCAAGAGTGAAAAATTTGCTGAAACTCCCAACAAAAAAAGCTCACTACAAGATTTCCGGTATGGGTGGTAGAATCGTACAGAATTCTACCCAAATTTGCCCAATAACCCTATGCACAACGGACACAAATATTAAAGTAGAAACAAATGCTATTGTTCTACCCCAACTCACCCAATTTCTACCAGCATTCACAGTAAAGGATGTTGACTGGACACAATTCGCCTCGCTAGATCTTGCCGATCCCTTATGTTTTACTCCAGGTAAAATAGACTTGGTGATAGGCAGTGATTTAACCCCGAAAATATTTCTGTGAGGCGTTAAAAATGTTTCCGATAGCTTGTTGGCACAAAATACCATCTTCGTATGGATTTTAAGTAGCCCAGTTCAAGCGCAAGTCTCAGCATTCTCCACCCGAGTCGAACCAACACCCGACGACTCATTATGCGACCTGCTCAAAAGATTTTGGGAGCAAGAAGACTTTGTGGACCCTGCTCAACCCTCGGAAGAAGACCAAATATGCGAAACTCTATACCAGAACACCACAATTAGAAGAGCAGATGGTCGATACGAAGTGCGACTACCTTTTAAAAAAGACTTTCCGGAATCTCTCGCCCTTGGACATTCCCGATTCTCAACCATAAGCCAATTTTTAAGTATTGAACGGAGTCTCGCCAAAAAACCTGATATTAGAGAAACGTACTCAGATGTTTTAGAAGAATACCTTACTCTAAATCACATGGAACCCACCACACCTCATGAAGTTATAAGAAGCGGAAAATATTTTTCATTTTACCTGCCCCATCACGCGGTTCTTCGCCCTGAGAGTAGAACAACAAAAGTGAGAGTAGTTTTTAACGCTTCTAAATCTTCAAACTCTGGTAATTCCTTAAATGATGTTCTCTATACAGGACCCACTCTCCAAACTGATTTAACATTTCTAATCCTCAATTGGAGACTCTACCAGTTCGTATTCAACGGCGACATTGAAAAAATGTACCGCCAAATACTGGTCCACGAAAACGATCAAGATTTTCAGAGGATCGTTTATCGAAAAACACCTGAACACCCAATAAGAGATTACAAGCTGAAAACAGTGACATTCGGTGTAAATTGTGCCCCATACTTGGCCATCAGGACTCTTCACCAATTGGCCGAAGATTCTGAACACAAGTTCCCAATGTGTGGAAAAGTGCTTAAACAGGAAACATACGTAGACGATGTGTTTTCCGGCGGGCATAATTTAGAAACTGCAAAAAATTCATTGTCTCAACTAATTAAAGCAATAAACTCGGCTGGCTTTCCATTCAAGAAGATAACAGCCAATAATTCCAAAATATTCGATGAAATACCCAGCACCAATCTCTTAGACTCAAACTTCTAAAAACTGGAAGACCGGAGTACAATAAAAACTCTAGGTATTCAGTGGAACGCAGTATCTGATTCATTTTCATATACATTTATTCCACCCCAAACTCCACACTCGGCAACCAAACGCCAAATACTCTCTTCAGTTGCTAAACTGTTTGACCCGGCAGGATGGCTTTCGCCTATAATGATAAGAGCGAAAATCTTCCTGCAAACTCTTTGGAAAGAGGGAACAGATTGGGACGAATGCGCTAAGCCCAACTCGCTACACACGTGGATCAGAATCATAGAAAATCTTCGCTCAGTAGAATCCATCAAAATACCCCGATGGATTGGGTTTTCTCCTACGTACACTGTCCAAATTCATGGATTTTGCGATGCGTCCCAGCAAGCTTATTGCTCATGTCTTTACATTCGTTGTCAAGATGAAGAAACCCCACCAACTTGCCGACTTTTTGTTGAAAAAGTAAGGTCGCCCCGCTTCATACAGTCAGCCTTCCACGCTTAGCACTTTGCGGAGCTGTCCTCCTATCGAAACTCATAGCACAAACCAGTTCGCAACGCTCGTTACAAAAGGCAAGAGTATATTTGTGGTGCGACTCTTCAATTGTACTCGCTTGGTTGGAGAAACCACCTTACGTCTGGAAGACTTACGTCGCGAATCGTACATCCCAAATCTTAAAAAATGTAGGAAACTCTGTATGGCGACATGTAAGCAGTAACCACAACCCCGCTGACCTAGGTACTCGTGGACGCAGGCCTCAAGACATAACCACTCAATCCCTATGGTGGCACGGTCCCGAATGGATTTGCGAATCGCCTAGTCGTTGGCCGCGATCCGAACCTACGAAAACTCCAGCCCCTGAACAGAGAATAATCAAGGCTTTTCATATGTCTGAAAAGGAAGATATTATGGACACATTTTCCTCATTTTCAAAGGCTTCACGGGTCCTTACGTATGCATTGCGCTTCGTCGAAAGATGCAGAAACACGTCTTATAAGACCGGCTCCTTGACGCAAGATGAAGTAAATTCTACAAAAACGCGATTAATACTCCTAGCCCAGCGTCGTTACTTTAAAGATGAATATTCCCAATTAACGACCTCTCAACCCATTAGCAAGAAAAGTAGTTTTCTTTCTTTAAGCCCATTCATTGATAAAAAAGGCCTTATGAGAGTAAATGGAAGATTACCGCACCCTACTCTAAGCTATAATGAAAGACACCCCATTATACTTCCTGGAGAATCACGATGTTGTGAACTATACTTGCAATTTCTCCACGCAGCTTTGCTACATGCTGAAAAATCACTTATGATACGCATGGTACAGGAAGAATTCTTTATTCCACGGTTGAAACCTCGCATAAAAATTGTATATTTCATTGCAAAACGTGCACAATCTACAAACAAAAGACCTGCTCTCAAATCATGGCCGCACTTCCTCCAGAAAGGGTAAAATTATCCCTTCCCTTTAATACAACTGGAGTAGACTTTGCGGGACCTATTCTCGTAAAAAGCGGATTAACTCGAAATGCCGCTTATCACAAGGCGTACATATGTGTCTTTGTTTGTTTCTCCACAAAGGCAATACCCTTAGAAGTCTGCTCTGACTTGACCACCCAATCATTTCTCGCTGCTTTCGCAAGGTTCGTGGGTCGTCAAGGATTGCCCTCAAAAATCATGTCCGATAATGGCAAAACCTTTGTCGGAGCACAACGTGCCTTAAACAAAGACCTCGATGCCTTCATGAAACAAGTGGCCGCAACAGTCGTAGCAAAATTTAATACCCAAGGTGTAGAATGGCAATTCATACCCCCCAGGCTCCTCACATGGGTGGCTTGTGGGAGTCCGCGGTAAAAAGCTTTAAAACTCATCTCACCAAAGTTGCCGGCACCCACAAGTTCACCTTTGAAGAGCTTACGACATTATTGCTCCGCATTGAGGCTGTATTAAACTCCAGGCCCCTAACTCCGATGTCTGAAGATCCGAGTGATCTTCTGGTTCTCACCCCTGGGCATTTCCTTCGAGGAGGCGCTCTGATGGCAATACCCGAGCCACCCGCGGAACAAATGACGCTTAGTAACCGCTGGCAAAAACTAAAGGTGCTCCATCAAGAGTTTAGCCGACGATGGAAGACTGAATATTTGCAAGATCTGCATAAGCGCCACAAGTGGAAATACCCTCAAAAGGATCTGGAAGAAGGCGAGCTCGTTTTCATCAAAGGCGACTTATTGCCCTCCAAAGAGTGGCGCCTAGGAAGAGTACTCAAACTCCACAGGGGCGCCGACAACCACATCCGAGTGGCAGATGTTAAAACTCAAACTGGCATCTATACCCGACCAATCGTGAAACTATGTGTTCTCCCCACAGAACGGTCCCAGACTAACTCCGATCCTCAATAACCCCTATCTCACCCTACTTAACTTTAAAAGCAACACTAGAAACTAGACATGTCGCGCTTACACCCTGCATTGTCTTATTTCTAATCCACTTGTTTGTGTCTTTCAGATCACCCGATATATATCAGTGTCAGATTTGTTGCCGATTTCACCCCCTACAAGCATGTGCCAGTTTTCGGAAGATGGATGTCCCCGAAAGAATCGAAGCAATTAGAACTCACAAATATTGCATGAACTGTCTTGCCAGATCTCACCAAACCGGTTCGTGCTCGTCTCGACATAGTTGCCGCATTTGTAAGCTCGCACACCACACGCTTCTTCACCGCCCCAATGATGAAAATAAGCCTCAACGCCTCGCCAGCAAAGTGACTGTAAAATCGGCGCAACCCCCCACTACGCAGCACCGTCGAGGCGTGCAATCCCGGCTGTGTCGTTGCCGTCAACGAAAGCCAAACCCCGATGCAAGTCAATCTACTAATCGCCATGATGATCCGCGGCAAACCTCCAAGCGAGATCAATCCACTCGTCAACGGAAAGGGCCTCTAATTCGCAACGGCCGCGTCAACAAACGCCGGCAACAGTTGCATCACCTGGTCAATGCGGCGGTATCGTCACTCCACGATCTACAGCAACACTTGCACCACGTTGCACCGGTGCAGGGGGGCCGGCATAGTCATGATGAGGACTGTGGCAACCTCATTGGCCTCTAAAATGCCTCAATTCTTTGCCACCGAAATTAAGAGCGAGGGAAAGCCGAATCGTTTTCATCATCATTTCGCGACCGCTGCCCGAGTAAAAACCTTCGCTTCCTGTGCTGTAACTACAATAAAAACCTGAACTTTTTAACCCAATAAATTGAATTGTTGAATATTTTTTAATTCTTTTTTAAGTCTTTTCTTTAAACCCCAACTCCCCCACGATACAAAAGTTGCTATCGTGGCGAAAAGAAATTTGCGGCAGTGAGCCCACGTGTCGTGCACGCTATCACTGAAGGGCACTATGTGGACGACTACGTCGATTGTTTTCAAACAGAGAAAGAGGCTCTAATAGTAGTACCGGAAGTTATTCGAATTCATCGAACTGGCGGTTTCGTGTTACGAAACATAATTTCTAATTCGGAAAAATTAAAAACAGCATGTGGGAGCTCTGCAAGCACTGCAGGTGATGTGTGCATTGAAAAAGAAGCGGATAGAATATTAGGCATGCACTGATTTTCAAAACCAGATGTTTTTGCATACATCTTGCGACTACATAAAGTCCCACCAGAAATCGTCATGAATGTAAGGAGGCCTACTAAAACTGAGATGCTGAGCCTTAACATGTCGATCTTCGATCCATTCGGCTTCCTGGTGAACTTTATGGTAAGTGCGAAAGTTTTGATGCAGGAAGTGTGGAGAGCTGGTATAGAATGGGACCATCCATTGCCGAATCATATCTATCACAAATGGAAAACGTGGCTTAACGAATTGCCGAAGGTTGAGCAATTTCGAATTCCGCGTTGCTACGTGCGCGACTTCGAAAGTATTCCCGCAGAGTTACACATTTTCTCTGACGCGAGTGAGGAAGCGTTGGCAGCTGTAGCTTATTGGCGTGTGGTGAGCAGTGTTGCCGCGAAACATTTTTAGTGGTAGCTAAATTCCAGCT